AAACCGCTTGAAAATCATAATATTCGTGAAGTGTTTCAGAAGAACCCAAAGGATAAACTCTATATTGCACTAGAGACAACAAAAAAGGTCGCGCACGGTATCGATCTTGAAGCTTATCGCCACATCTTTAAACCGCAATGTTTTAAGAATGCTTTTGGGGAAACAATCGTCGACTTCTTAGATCTCGCCAATCCTCTAGTTGCGAAAAATGCACGGAATGTAATTGACCGTTATTATTATCATACCCTTAACAACCCCACCCATCAGTCTAAACAATTCGCCAGTAATATGATAGAACACTTTTGCAGTTTCACCGATAGCAACAACGAACCTTACACTACTGCCAATACTGCGTCTAGCCATTGCCAAGAACATCTCACGTGCGTTCAGGAACTAATTCAAGGGCTCCAATCACTCTCAGATATAGTCAACAATTATTTTCATAATACCTATCCAACCCTATATACCAAGATGAAAAATCTCAATCTCGGGCCAAATGTTCCTAAATCATTCGGTGCCTTTCCTACCGTTGGTATCAACTATAACACGATCTCCCAGTTTCATAGGGACCTAAAAGATCATCGAAATACGCTTTGCGTGGTGTGTCCACTTGGGAATTTCGAAGGTGGAGAGCTGACATTTCCAGAATTAAAATTAATCGTCCATGTTAAGCAAGGTCAAGCGGTGGCTTTTCGATCAAACCTCCTGGTTCATGGAAATCTGCCAGTCGTTGCCGGAGTTCGCCACAGCGTCGTTTTTTATATCCACAGTACGGTGATTAAACAAAAACGAAAGTTTGGTTCTCTTTTCGCTGATTATGAGTTGGATTGGGGTAACAATAATGATGATAAGCCATCACAAGAATATCTTCCTCCAACGCTAGGTTCTGGAAATAACGATGTGAAGCTAAAAAATCATAGAAGAACAAATATAGGTATGTATAGGCGAGATAAAACTTATATCTACGTATAATTAAGAACTGATATTTATAGCGGAGCTAGCGCTAAAACACATATTTTCCATTCATAGATTTGGAACGCGCAAAAAAAAGGTTTACCAGCACGGTATAAGAAATAATGTTTTTGTGATGGATTTAAATTTGGAATTTATTGCCACTTAGTGTCTGTATCAAGCAATAGAAATTTATTATTCTTAATGTAAATATATCATGCCTTTAGGCGCCTCTTTAAGGCTTGATTATCATGGGTTAAATAAAGATTCTGTGTAGGTGCCATTGTTATACAATAAATATATAAGATTATACCGGACATCACTAATGTTCGGATAATTAATTATCTACCTAAAGCCCTTGCCATGATTGATGTAGTCCTTGATCAGGCCTGTAGGGATGAGTTATACTCATGGCTCGAGCAAGACTATTTAATAAATTAATTCGTACTGAATCGATCAATTCTGATGTTACTCTAATTGCAGAAATACGATCTGTTACATTTAATATATTAGTTGAAACCATTCTATTAGGTCCACCAGTAAAAATTACTCTTTGAAATACCGTTAATGGATCTGGAATAAGTGGAGGTAAATTAGAAACCAAGAATTCATCATCGGAATAATCTGAAATAAGTAGAGGTAGATCAGAATCTGAGAATTCATCATCGGAATAATCTGGATGTTTAATTTTAATTTCTGAAATGAGTTTCTTTATCACTTCTTTGCTAATTCCTTTACATCCCTCCAAACTAAGATATTTCAAATTAGTATAGTTATGGGCTATTTCCTCGATAGCTTTATTACTGATCGAACAATCACCAAGCTCAAGATATCTAAGTTTTGGGCATGAGTGAGTAATTTCAGTGATACATCAATTGGTGAGACATTTACATGAATTAAGACTCAGATGCTGTAGTTTTGGAGAAAATTTTGCAATTTTTATAATTGATATATTAGTGAAATCAACACTTTGGTCAAGAATAAGAGTGTGTATATCTGGACATAAGTATAGAATCGTACTAATCAATGCATCTCTGATTTTTAATCCTTCTATTCTGAGATATACTATCTTGGAGCAATAAAGAGGTTTCATCTCCCTACACATAACTTTTTTAAAATTTAACAATCGTCTAGGTACCTTTCCACTGCGTCGGATCCTCTGACAATCTTTTTTAGAAAACTCAACATGACGCCATAGAATTGGTGCACTGCAATAATACCAAAAACGATTGACGAATGAAGCAGAATAGAGGGATTGATCAATTTCTAAAAAATATAAGATCTGTTCTAGTAACTCAGGTATATTAAAAATATTAAGCTGTTGCATCATTCTCAAGTAATGTGTATCTTCAATCGAAAAAATAATTAATATTTAGAGCAGAGCTCATTGTCTATGACAACAGATTATTGGTTCACATATTTAGTTATCAGATTTTAAAAGTAACTTTACTCGTTGATAATATCGATCTTTGGCTTGCTTCATAAAGGATCCACCTGGTCGATAGAGCCACTCAATTACTGCGTGCTGAATTATTTTAGCGGAATTAATTTGTCTTCTCCATAAACGATATGTCCGCTGGATAATTAATGACGCACGATTTTTTTATACAATGCTAGTTGAACTTTAAAATTTCTATATTCAGGGTCATTACCTATTTGTTTATGGCTGGTTAAATTATTTTTGATACGAAATATAAAATTTTCCCAATAATCTCTACTATTTATTTCATATCCTAGTTTTAATAAACGTTTGCGTACATACTTTGGTGGATAATATTTTGCAAACCGTAACCATGCTTCTGATGTTTTAATATTGGTAACGATATAATTTACACCATATTCACTTAACCTATCTCGTGGACCCTCTAGGCCATGCTTCGAAGAATCGCCTATTGACCTGCTTTGCAATACTCTGCTATAACTCATTATATATTTGCTATTTCAGATATATCTAATATAGTTTTAATTGGTACTTTGTATTATGAAATAATGAGCTCTGCTCTAATTTCGCAAGATAAAATTCTCATCATGATGTTTTATTATAACAATATATTTAATTCTGCATTTTTAAATTCGTATTAATAAATAATAATTTAGCATTTACAATGACTGAAGCTAATGACAATATTGATGACAACCAGGTGGAAGAATCCATAAAAAACTTTAAACGATGTTTGATTGACGTCAATGATGAAGTTGTGGAGGGCATAGTTCAAAATATCCAATTATCACTTATGAGGTTGCGAAAAATTTGGTTTCATAAAAGATAAAAGTTTACCTAATATTACCAATGAAGTGGTATATGATATTGTTAAGCAAGTATCAGATAAAAAAATTTGGATCTTTCTTCACCGATTACTAGAGATAGTAAAACCCGAGGTTCGTCAAGAGCTTATAAACTCAATAGCAAACCTGAACATTTCTCAAAGAAATCATACACCATCTGAGGTTAAAAGAAAAAAATCAATTTTTAACAATACTGCATCTGAGTCCTCGTCTTCATCTGAATCTGGGTCTGACTCTGAATCGTCTAGCTACAAAGTGACTACATCCAGCAACAATGATAAAAATTTTACTGTGAATGTGGTGAAAGCGAAGAAGTGTGGTTAGTAAACATATTGCATCTGACGATTAATAATTAATTATATTACCAATCTAGATATTCCTATATAAGTCAATAGATATCCTCAATTTCAGATGTAGTAGTATTTTTATCAATTGGTTTACTTATAAAAGCTTGAGTTTTGGGTTCAGGCTCTAGATCTGAGTCAAGATCAGCGGAAGTATCACCCTCAGCATAATACATTCCAGAATCATGACGATCCATCTTATGCCTCATTGCAATCCTGCTGAGAAAAGCGAGATGTTGTGAAGTTGAATTTTGACCACCATGAACTCTAGAAGCATGTTTATCTCCAATTTTTCTTAATCTTTTAGCTGTAATGCCATATGGCTTTAAAAATTTACTGAATACACTTGTACTACGTTTTCCATTAATACTATAGACATGATCACGCAACTTTCCGATCGCTATTGCATTTTGAATCCTGGTAAGCAATTCTCTTGCACGTTCTGGATTCTTTCCATTGATAGAAACGGTCGAGGTTCAGAATTGTTTTTTGCTTCTCCTTTATTTTTAATATATCCAGTACAATACCAAGAGTAATCGGGATTATACCATTCTGGAGGATTTGATTCGTCAGGCTCATAATGGATAATGCGAAGAGTGGTTACTTCAGCGGGTCTCATACTTAACATCATGATCACATCTGCAAGATCTTGTAGAGTGGGGGTCTCAGTGGTACAGATATTCTGAAGTCTTCTAAGCCCCTCTTCTAAGGAGAAGTGTTTAGGCATTTTAGGTTGACTGATTAATCCCAGTTCAACTTTTCTCTTCTGAATTTTGTTAGAAGCTCGAGTAACATTTGGTAATTTGGCATATGTATTAATTTGCTCAGGATCAACTCCAGCTCCTGCTAATTCTTTACGAAATTGCGATAGACAGGAACTGGCCACCACAATTGCCTCATCTGTATTATTTTTTGGAACAGCTAAGTCTAAAGCATGTAACCAAATATCCCACACATCTTTAGTTTTTGCACAATATTGAGCTCTTTCCTTGATAGTAAGTTTTTTCCCCCTTTTGTCTGGTACAAAAGCTTCTATTTGATTGTTTTTGAATAGGCGCCGGCGAAGAGCCTCTTTCACATTTTTACGAGCCTTCCAATCTGGTAGCATAGTATCAAGCTCATCAGCATGAGCACGTAATTGAAGTGGGTTTGATTCGGCTGATAGGTTATATTTATTGAGGATCTGATCCAAAATAGAGGTAAAGCTATTAGTTTTGGGTTTTCTAGTTTTTCGGATAGTTTCCATGATAGGTATGTAAATAATATGTATATCGATAAGTAGATTGGGATTTTATATTAACCTACTTATTTTTTCAAATCAAAATTAATTATCTCAGGTCAATATATCTAGTAATTACCTAAAAAATTAAATGCGTTTCGGTTATTGTAATTCTGTCAGAAAATGGACATGACTAAGACACGAGATTGATCAGGCACGAAGTGTTATTTCTTCGAAATAAAGTCTTGGAATCAGTAGCTTTACGTAATAAAATTACTAAAAATGTCAATGGGATCAAAGAGGATATATCATTACTTAGGCATGTAAGTGCCATTATTTTATAATAAGAGATCCTGGAAAAAATAATCAATATACATGTATGCCAGGTATATGATTATACTTCATGCATAGAATCAGGTAAGTCAGATATATAATTCTTAAACATAGTAATTTGTGCACATAGCTCATCCTGTTTTTTTCTGTGATAATTCTCTTTGCTTTTATATTTCCCACGTGTTTATTGCATGCATTATATTTAGACCTATTTGGCTCACCACAACCTCTACAAGGAGTAGGTATTGGAGAATTACGATAAATATAACATCTTTCTGATTTACTACGTCGACCACAGATTTTTCCAGTTCTATGAATATATGAGCAATGGTATAATATCTTCTTTCGATTCTTTCCAAGCCCCATCGTGATTATATACAATAATTACTTTGATCGTATTTATTTTTTTTCTTGACAAAAGTGATAGCAAATCTGAGACCAAAATCCCACTTCGGAATAATTAATTTTATTTTAAAGATTTATTTATCAATTATTATAATTTCAAAAACATATACTTTTTGTCAGATCAAACAACACACATATACAAACAACGCATATATACAAATAAAAAAATGTCTTGGCATTCGCATTCAAAATATGATTATTTATCAGATGAAAACTCAGAATATAATAGTGATTCTGGGGACGATTTGCCAAATCTAACAAGAGATAAGCAACGAGTCTTGTGAAAATATAAATATCTTAACAGCCCTGATTGCCCTAGAAAAGAATGCCTTTATGCTTCGGAAAATGTTCCACCTGAAGGATGGATTATCCGGCAAGAGTATCCTCATAGCTATAGATATTTCGATAACTTATCTGAGTTTGAAATATGGCATAATTCAATACCCGAATACCAGCGTACATTTCATGAGATTATTCGAATAGGACAGCCACAAAAAATTAAGATTGATATGGATGGTGAATTGGAAAAATTTGCATTATATTCTGATCCTTTAAATAGAATAGAAAAGGCTTTAGGACAAAAATCATTTGATGGTTATATTGCTAATACACGTCTTCATTCATGGCGAAAATCTACAGATATAATGCGTAAAAGGATGAGATTAGTTTGTATCAAGAATGCTCTCCGAATTGCCATAAAAGAGATAACTGGATTGAATCTCTCAAAGAATGACATTATTATAGCTGATTCCTCGAATGAAATGAAATAGAGCAAACACTTGATATTACCCAAGTATTTTGTTCGTGGTGCATGCAAAGCTCGAAAATTTACATCGCGAATCTTAGAACTTCTTCCAGAAAGAATGCATCCTTTCATCGATGAAAAAGTAAACAAGGATCTCCATTACTTTCGACTAGTAGGAAGTCATAAAGCCAAAGACTCTTCACGCATTAAGCGCATATGTTCAAATCATACTTGGAGAGAGTCACTTATCACTCATATTTAGAAAGATTCCATAGAACTCTGGCCATATGAATGGGAAGAAGAAGAGAAAAAACCGAAAAATGAGTCTGTTTCACGTAAGGAGAGTGATACTGCGATAAAAATAGTAGAACAACAATTTCCTTTTCTGTCTTATCGAAATTCTAATAATGGCTTCGATATTTTTGATAGAATTCGGCCTACAACATGTTCGATCTGTGAAAAAAAGCACACGAGAGAAGGTATGTATGGCAGATGGCATGGATCGTATTATTTTCTTTATTGTTTTAGGCAAAAAAAGGGTGAATCCGGTATTGAGGTTGTTAGAGCTGATCATAATAAGAAAAAAGTTATTCCACGTTTAGATAGATTGAGATCTCGGCTTCATAATATATCACATTCTCTTTCACAAAATAACTTTACTACTGTTGGAAAGAACATCGAAATATATACATAATACTAAGACAATGCATAGCTATAATTTACAAGCTAAACTTACAAGCGGTAACCGGCACTTGATGCTTATTAAAGGGCATTGTAGTGTTGGCAAATCAAATGAGACAGCAGAGGAAATAAAAAACACTATGCCATTCTGATGGTTCTTCTGTTTCAATTCTCATTATTTCTGGCCGGCGTAGTCTAGCCCATGGTCAAAAAGTTCTTTTCGAAGGGTTTAAGTCTTATCTTGAGCTAGACATGAAAAAGCTTAATCCTAAAGATACTCCAAAACTCATTATCAGTCCCGAAAGCATTCACAAACTTGGAGCAACTGGCTATGATATAATTATACTAGATGAGTTTGAAACTATTACTCAAAATTTTAGTGGACCTACTATGAAAAAACCGAAGCTGAGCCATGACGTGTATAAATCATTACTCCAATCTGCGTTATTGATATTGGCTTTAGATGCTACATTAGATTCAGATTCGCTTGTACATTTACAAACCATTTCGAAAATAGATGCCGAAAATTCAACCGTTATATGGAACCAGTATATACGTGATAAATGTCATGCTCTTATACATATTAATACCAAAAAATGGAATGTTGAATTAATTGGAGCTCTTAGGCAAGGATTAAAAGTCTATATTCCAATGTTTGCTAGTGCGGAAATGGCAGAGGCCCTTCATAAGGAATTAAAATTTCAAGGATATCAAAGTAAGTGTTTTTCCAAACGACTATCAGAAATGAGAAAAAAGAAATATTTGCCAATATCAATAATGCAGTGGCAAATCTTGACTATTTGATAGCGACTCCAGTAATGACTTGTGGAGTAAGTATAACAATCGAAAATTTTGATATGACATTTGCTCATTTCCGCACATTAGCTGGTTTGACATGTCAAGAGGCTTATCAGATGTTACACCGGGTTCGAAAATTTAATCGCAATGTTGTACATATTCTTACAGATTTACGGAGCGATAATTTACCAACGGACCGTGAGGATTTACTTCGTTTTATCAGCTATCGATGTAATATTGTAGAGTATCCCGATTTAGAAGAGGCTCATTGTGATAAAACCCTTACTCCTGATGGTAAATGGATTTTTAAACCAAACACATCCTTAGAAACTCATCTCTATAATGCATCTTGCCGTAATGCGTCTAGAAATGATTTTGTAGTTATTAGCTGATCGTCTTAGTGAATGCGGTTATGACATTAGTATTGCTCAAGATTGTCCCTCCATTGATTCTACAGTCACGACAGACAAGGAGGGCAAAGAATTGTTTTTAAATGTACATTCAGTCAAAAAGGTTCTGGATACAGAAAAATATTTAATGATTGCCAATACACCGGTTTTGAATGATATCGAAGCCTCGGGTATTCGAGAATGCTTAAAAAGAGAAGAGGATATAGACCCAGCCTATAGACTCGCTTTGCAGAAATACAATCTCGCATCTTTTTATAAAAAGACACCTGAAGATATAACAGAAGATTTTGTAGAAAAATATTTCCAAAAAGAGATGCGAAATGAGTATAGTGCATTAGTTCAAGCTATGAATCCTCTCGATGACTTGCGTGAGAATCATAAATTTATGGTTATTGGAGACTCACGAGAGAAGGCTTCTTGCGATTCATTATTGTCAAAAGTTATTGCTTTAGAGGAGATTTTACGAGGGATAGGGTTTTCTTCGGGTATTTATATATCTTATACTTTATCACGTCAAGACTTTGATACTAATTTACTGAATTTTCTACCAATTTATAAGAAAAATGAGTGTCGTTACTATGCAATATTTGGAAAAAAATGGAGACCGCATGCTAACTATAATCTAAAGTATTTTATGGAATTTCTTCTCAAACCACAAAAGGAATTTAAAGAATCATTTTACCGAGAAAAAGATCGTGGAAATCAACTTACGCACTTGAAACTTAAAATAGATGGATATCTAAAAATGATTCTTCCCGATGCTTTTCCAAGCGATAATGTAATTGCAGATCCCCCAAAATCAGATCTCAATTCTTCTCAAAATATATGCCATGTCGTCGATAATACCATTGGTGAAGTTAACACAGCAGGGAAAAATATACCTGAACCTTTGATTTCTTTATCTTCAGAGTTTCTCATTAAAAATGAATCTGATATCGATGTCCTTATCCTTCATTTACAGCAAAAATTCCAAATGTCGAAAGAAAAATTGGAACAATGGCGAGCCAAGATTGCCTTTGAAATGCGGGATAATCATAATTATTGGGAAAAAAAGCGCGAGAGCATGGATGAGGTCACTTTCTTGGAATATAAACGCAACTTCGAAGCTAAAATGAAAGTTCCTACTACTCCGCACAAAAAAGAACTGAAAAATAAATCTATAGCAATCAATGAATATGTATAATTGTTATTTTAAAATAACGTAATCAGAATACTCTGGCTAGGAGTATATCTAGCCATATATTTTGGGTAAGGGGATTTTTGTCGCCTCTTACAATGAGTATGCAGAAAAATTTAAATAAAAAATTATTTTGGTACTTGGATCATACAAAGGGTTTTGAGTTGCGGTGAGATGGTCCTGGTCATCCGATTTATGTGCCTGTCAGGTGAAATATCACGTAAGTACTTCTGATATATGGGATAAGTTAACTATATTTGTGTGACTGAGATGTAATCGAGATAGCAAAGCACATAGGTATAATAAGATAGTAAAATATATAAGTATAATGGAACAGCAA